AGTTTATGTCCCCCAGTTTCATATGCAAGAGTATGCTGTAGTACGAAAAATTTCTAAAACGAGGCAAGCTATTGACAATAAGATATGAAGCAAGAATATCAACAGTCGCGTTTAAAGTCAACATTTAGCCATTTCCATAGTCGATAAAATGACCATGTCAGCAAATAAATTTATCATTAAGTCGGACGTTGACTGACGTTTTCATACAAACTGTAAGGCCACTTTTTTTCACACTGAATTGTCTACGGATTCTTTTGTTTGCCCGATCATGACAAGGAGCACACTGTGGGTGTAACTGGTCGACAGGGGATGTTTACTCCTCCATGGCACCTTATTCCACTTTTAATTTTTTTTTGCTCTGCTCCAAATTTGTATTGTTAAATAAACCTATCAGCTTGATTAATGTTCGTTATATATTTCCATATTTCATCAATGATTATTTTTCCCGATCATGACAAGGAGCACACGGCGGGTGTGACCTGTCGGCAGGAGATGCTCACTCCTCCATGGCACCTGATCCCACCTCTGATGTTTTGGGAGGCCCATGTTTGCTCCGCTCCAGATTTGTAATATCTAAATTAACTTATTATAGTATAGTCAATAATTATTTGAATCAAGGTTTTTTTTTCAAAATGCATGATGATTTCAATCTATTGCTTCGATTTTTAATTTGTAAATGTGTAAATATGATATATGTGCATGTATTTTCTCTGTTTCTTGCATGCATTTGAAGCTTTACCCCATAAGTGGGCACAAAATATTGCATTTGCAAGACTTCATTTGGCAACCATATATGAGCAGTTTGTCGTACCAATTCTATTTGATGATGTATGTGTTTGGCATTGATGTGGAGGTGAAGAAAACGTGAAGAGTTATCTGCTATTATATACTGTATATTTGTATATAATCAATATTCATTTTAGATTTCTATGCTCTTAAAGTTGGAGGCAAAATTATCTTATCACGTGTCCTTCATGTGTTCGTGAAAACTTTAAATACTTAACTTCAACTTTGGAACCATAGCAGGTACCCTTTTTAGGTCACCTGAGTCACTCAGGTGACCTATTGCTATCTGTTTTCGTCCGTCGTCGTGCGTCGTCCGTCGTGCGTTAATTTTTGAACATTTTTAACTTCTTCTCTAGAACCGCTCAACCAATTTCAACCAAATTTGGTATATAGTATTTATGGGTGAAGGGGAACAAAAATTGTGAATTTCATGGTCCCTGCCCCCCCCCCCCCCCCCAGGGCCTGAGGGGTGGGGCTGAAACCACCAAAAATAATGCAATCTTTAAAAATCTTCTTCTTTACTCCTGGACATCAAGCAGTCAAACTGTTGGCATCATTGTAATAAGCATTGAGCCCTCTACCAAAATTGTGAAATTCATGGCCACAGGGTCAGGGGTTCTGGCCCCAGGGTGGGGCTATATAGATTATATAGTGAAAGTGCATTAATTCTTTGAAAATCTTCTTCTCTGCTCCTGGGTATTAAATAAAGGAACTAAGTACATAGCTATGATGAGCAAGAGTGCCTCTTCCAAATTGTGAAATTCATGGCCCCAGGGTCAGGGGTTCTGGTGTTAGGGCGGGGCTCTATAGATTATACAGTGAAAAAGCATTAATTCTTTGAAAATTTTCTTCTTTGCTCCTGGGTATTAAATAAAGTAACTAAGTACATAGTTATGATGAGCAAAAGTGCCTTTTCAAAAATTGTGAATTTCATGGCCCCAGGGATAGGGGTTCTGGTGTTAGGGCGGGGCTCTATCAACTATATAGTGAAAATGCATTAATTCTTTGAAAATCTTCTTCTCAGCTTCTGGATATTTAATAAAGTAACTAAGTATATAGTTATGATGAGCAAGAGTACCTCTTCCAAAATTGTGAATTTCATGGCCCCAGGGTCAGGGGTTCTGGTGTTAGGGCGGGCCTCTATCAACTATATAGTGAAAAAGCATTAATTCTTTGAAAATCTTCTCCTCTGCTCCTGGGCATTAAGGTGATAAACTAAGTACATAGTTATGATGAGGAGGTGGGTCTCTTCCAGAATTGTGAAAGCCATGGCCCATGGGTCAGGGGTTCTGATGTTAGGGCGGGGCTCTATTGATTATATAGTGAAAATGCTTCAAATCTTTGAAAATCTTCTTCTCTGCTCCTGGGTATTATTTAAACAAACTAAGTGCATGGTTATGATGCATAAGGATGCCTTTTTAAAAATTGTGAATTTCATGGTCCCAGGGTCAGGGGTTCTGGTGTTAGGGTGGGGCTCTACTGATTATATAGTGAAAATGCATTGATTCTTTGAAAATCTTCTTCTCTGCCACTGGAGATTATTTAAACAAACTAATTGCATGATTATGATAGACAAGGATGCCTCTTCCAAAATTTTTAAATATATGGCCTCAGTTTTTGGGGTTCTTGAGGAGGGGGGGGGGCTCTTTTGATTATATAGTGAAAAAGCATTAATTCTATTAATTAATCATTTATTAATCCTGTCTGCTCCTTAGTGTTGATTTGATAAATAAATTGCTTAGCTATGATGAAAATGGGAGCTTCGAACAGAATTTTTAAATCTTGTGGTCCTAGGGTCAGGGGTTCTGGCATAACGAGGGGGGGGGGGGGCTTTTGATAATATAGTGGAAAAGTGTTAATTCTTTGAAGTCCATAGTTATAATGATGAGGGTAACTCTTCCAAATTTGTAAATTTCTTGACCCTTGGTCTTGGGTTCTGGTGTTAGGGTAAGGCTTTGTTGAATCTGTAGTGAAAATGCATTGTACCTGTGAAATTCTTCTCTGCTTCTGGGCATATTGGAAGCAAACTGAGTAGAAGTTTAAATGATATGAGTAAGCGTATTTCTACCAGATTTTTAAACATCTGGACCATTCGTCTAAGCATTCTGGTCCTGGGCAGGGCTCTATTAATTTGTATTCTACTGAGAGAAGTTATTCTCCTTTTCCATTCATCTTTGTTAATTAATCACTGTAAATAATGTATTTGAAAGGTTAATAGAATAAGATAATTATGCAAGAATGTTTATCGTATAATTCAAAAAATACTTTCTTAGTTTTAATAATCAGGTAGACCTGTAAGTAATAGATAAATAAAAATGAGACAAAAATAACTTATCTTATTAAAAGTTCTTCAAAGACCATAAGAGAGGTCAATGCTAGAGGTCTTAATATGGGTTTAAAAATAGTACAGAAGCACTAATAGTTTGTTAATAGTCTGCATGGTGATAGTGTTAAGTGGGGGACAGATTAGAACTTAATTTATGAGTTGATACTGAATACTAGACTAATTATTTTGTTGATCCTGATCTTCCTACTTCTCTTGCTTTAGGGCAACAATGCTTCATCTATCAGTGTATTTAACTTCAAAATTGTTGTATTATACTCAGGTGACCGTTAAGGCCCTTGGGCCTCTTGTTAAGCTTGGCGTCCATATTCAAATACATGTTTTAATGTCCTTTCAAATGTATCATATCAAAGATTCCGTGTTCATCTGTTTTTCATTGATAGATATATATATATATATATATATATATATATATATATATATATATATATATATATATATATATATATATATATATATATATATATATATATATATATATAACAACTATATAACAACTACCCAATTGGGATCACAGACACTTGTTTCTGTAGAGACAATTCACGTCAGAGAGCATTTGTCACGCATTACAATACGGTGATTGATATTAAAAACACCGTTATTTATACTTTATGTTTTTAAATAATGAGTTTTGGCTATAATTGGATTAACAGTGCAAATACACCGGGCAACTGTTGAATTTCTGGAAAAATACAGAGATGATGCAACACCAATGATAAGTATTATTTCAATTTAAACAACATCTCTCTGTTTTGTATCATCACATAAATACATGTATCTGTACAAAGAGTACGTCCAGGGACTACTGTTCACAACACATCACGACCTCGTTCGGTCAGTTTAGAAAACGTACCTTGTTTTAGTTATGAATATTAAACAGGTTTGGGGGTATCAAAACATCTCAACTTTATTTCATTAGATGATAGGGTTTTTATGGATGAAAATGTAGCAATGTCTTTTAATTCTAACAATCTTTGCTGTTTGTCCTTCTTAGAGAGCCAAAGCAGTTAAGTACACCAATACTTATGAATTTTCACAAAAGTTAATTTTAAATTTGTGTCTGGCAATAAGTGCTTATCAAGTTTAATTTTGGGAAGAAAAATGATTTGAATAATGACCCTTTTAATAAACAGTGTGAGCTGACTGAACTCATCAACATCTGCGATAGGTTAAAGTCAACAAATGTTCTTGCTTGTTTTAAAATCCCCCACCCTGTTTTTTTTTTTAATTAAGGTTCACAACTGGAAAGGAAAATGAAGCATTACACTTTTGTTGAAAGAATGTGGGCTTTGCCGATTGTATCGGAGTATTTATTATGCAATAATACAAAGAAAGAGACTGTTCCTCGAATGATTCTGACAAAAATGAGTTAGTACATGTACAATATTTTCTTGCTCATTTTATTTTGTGTTAACCCTGCTCATGAAATTAGTGGATTATAAATTCATTTTCACGAAACAACTCATAATGTCTAATCCAATATCGTCTTATTTTAATGAAAATAATTTCGAACAATTATTCATTTGCTTGAAGTTAAAACATATCGTTATATATGTAAAGAGTTACAATCATTTTGTACATATTTAAAGTAATTTTCGGTAAGAGGTATAAAAAAGCCATATACAAACAATTTGCGGCTACACCACTTCCACTATTATTGTATGAGTATTTAGTATTTTTGATTGAGAAATAACATTCCCTCTGGGTGATTTATGGAGGAGATATACCAAAAAGTAGAATCACACAAGTAGAATAACATTTCATAAGTGCGAATCATCCATATTTGGTGAAGACATATCCATCATTTCTTTAAGTTTCCATTTCTTATCTTTATGTAAAATGGACATATTGAAATATTACCCAGAAGCAATGAATTTTGATAATTTATATTACATGCAATACATGTTTCAAAACACTGGGACGCATGGCGCATCACTTTACCTCTCATGTAATCTGCTGGTATTTGATATACACCCTATAAACGTTTCTTTAAACATTAAAACATTTTAATAATACAATTTGTGAACACAGATATATATTCCCGGCGTTTTCTAGCTTGTTTTCTTGAAGGTGACCGTCGTGCCTCCTCTCATGGAAATACGTCCACTTGGTAAGCATTCACTCTCGTATATAACCTGTAACGACATCAATCATCTACATTGTACTAAGTATCAAGAAACATTTGTAAAATATTTTTAAACTTTAAATTTAAGTGTATCAATATGCAATGAACAGCTGCACATTGGAGTTAATAATCCGAATTTTAATCAGTATTTCATTCTTTCCTTAATTTAACAACAATATTTTGGAGATTCTATTGAATTAAGAAATGAGTGTAATATTTAATCTTTGATAAAAGTATCAAAGAACAATTTGGACGGAAAACATCAATGCGCGTAGAATTAATCATTTCAAATAAATTAAATGATTTAGTTATTAAAATAATGAATTCATATTCAAAATATAAATTTTTACTCTTTCATCTGTGTAGTTTCAATTCTTTAATAACATACATTTATCGTTGAATTTTTTGCCTTTCTTGCATTTGTAAGTGAAGTCTATGGCTGCATTTCTAACTACTTTTTATGTATCACTTGAACAAGAACTAAGATGGTAAACATTTATAAATGTTTAAATCTTTTTTAATTGGTGCAAACAAATACGACAGACTCTAAATTTTATTGAATGTGCAAAGGGTTTTAAATAAGGGCTTGATAGGGTAAACTTAATGATGTTTAGAAAAAAGTAAAATGACAGATTTTTATCTTTATTATTACTTTTTGATTAGTGATTTCAAACAATGTTTCTAACAGCTATTTAATTTTAACTACCTCAGAAAAGGGAACAAAATGAATAAATGAAAAAAATGCAATGAATAAGTTATTTAAATATAGATTTAAAGATATCTTTTAAAAATAAATTTGATATGTAAAACTGACCTACAGAATCTGTAAATCATAGCTTTGAGGCAAAATTAATAAACTACATGTATTAAATTTTTCTGTACATCTTTATAAAACACCGATTAATTGCAAAACTTTGATAGTCATGGAAGCTGTTAACAATAATAATTTTTTTTTCATTTGAATTTACATGTGTATTCACTTTATAGTTACTTTTATTTTTTTTTTATTTTTTAAAATCTATTTATTTAACTTTTAATTAGGGCTAGGAGTCTCATGATGCGACTTTTTTTTCTTTTTAGCAATTTGATGATAAGAATATCAGAACGGAACATCGTTTAAAAGACAATTATTTAAGGAACGAATTTACTATAGTTATACTCAAGTTATTTTGTATAACTTTACCTGGGGCAGTATATAATTGCGCTTTATACGCAATTTATACCAAATTTAGGCTCATTGACAGTCTTAAATTTTGATATACATATATATTTTGTTATTATAGGCTATTTTTTTGTAAACTGATGGGCTGTATTGCCCAAAGTTAATATTCTGAATAAACTATATATAAACCGCGAAGCGTTTAATACAAAAAACACGAAGTGTTCCAACCAAGGTTATATAAGTTTAACTTGGGTGACTATAAAATTAATTCTTCATGATATAATTCTACATTATCAAGTTAAAAATAACAAGACGGTTTTACTTTTAAAATGACATTAAATTTTACAAAATTTTAATAAAACATGAAATGGTTTGTTGCAATTTTGTCACCAAATTGTAACATACAGGCAATAGAGAAACTAATTTTTCATCCAGTCAGATCAAATGGAACTTGATAAGGATATGCTAAATACCCTGTTTGAAAATTTTGTAATTTGATTTTCAAATAAAGTATGATACAGCTTATTTTTTTCTAAGAGTATACGTTATTATGAAGGGACATAGCATTCCGCTACGAAAAACTGTATAACAGCAGAAAATTCCAGTAAGCTTTCACGATAGATAAATATTCCAGTACAATTTTAGTAACCTATTTGTCCTAGCAGGGCATAAAAGCTACCGAATTACTTTGGGATTTAACATGAATAAATTAATAATTGCGTAATGAGGTCAAAATATACAGACGGATTCCAATGAAATTTAAAAAGTTTCCCAATGTATAAACTCAATATGGAATTTTTCGCATCCTTAGTTGATTTATATAAAGCACTTTAACTGATACGGATGTTACGGTCCATTAGTCTGGTTAATTTTTGCTAACTATAGGAACCGAGAGTTTTGGCTTCAGACAAGAGCATTCTTCGGCACGACAGAAATATTAATTTGCCTTTTAACTTGTTAAGGATGAAACCTTAATTGTAAATAAATCTGACATACCCTGCCTCTTCTCCGTACAATTTTAATTATCCACCTGTAATTCCTATCAGTGGTAACACCTGGCACATTCTCTACACTATAACAGTTACTACTAATACGCTGCACGTTCATTCTGTAAGGGTTTTGTATACATGGATGTTCTACACGAAAGCGTACACTGGCTTCCGCTATGGCGTTGTACAGCGTCATATCAGGAGACAGAGCTACGTCTGTTTGATACAGGGGGCCGTCAGTAACATCAGTTCTCCCATCTATAATCACATGGACGTATGGCTGTAGAAAACAGAGAATTAAAAAAGATTTTTGACTTGTCAATGAAAGAAAATTAATACAATTTGTAAATAGATGCTAGTAAATGCAAATAAATCATTTTGAACATCAGTTTAAATTCTAGTACTGAAGTCAAATTTATTTGCAGTATATACATAATATGTAGTATACGTAAAAACAAATTCAAACTACTACCATTTAAAACAAATAATAATGATTAATTCGCGAGTATTCAATTAAAACACAGATTTCTTGAGCAAATTATATGTTTTTCTTGACCTTAATCTTGAGTTAGACTGATGATACATCTTAATGGCACGAGCATCAAGAGGTACTAGTTTGAATATTAAATCTAATTCAGGGTAATTTTAGGAATGACACTAATTCTTGGCCAAATTATTCGAGGATAACCTGGTTTGGGTCAGTTTACGCTTTATAATCCGCGAAGCGGATTATAAAACAGCGTAAACTGACCCAAACCAGGTTATCCTCGAATAATTTGGCCAAGAATTAGAGTCATTCCTTATAATTTAATTCTAAAATCATTAAACAACTCTGGGTGTAAAATTTCGTTGCTTTTTATTAGTTCAAATTTGCCGCTCAATAATACAACCATAGTAACGGAAGTGATGGGAAGCGAGGGGAGGTAAAAACTGATACATAGTCCTATAGCAGCCATGTTTTTTGTTTACATGTGGTAAGATCCGAGTTACTGTTTGAAGTTAAAGGTACATTTATTAAATCTTGAATTTTCCATGAATCCCGAGGACTGGAAATGAGAGGATTGCATGGATACAGACGATTCAGCTGGTTGTCAGGGGGGTGTGTCCCCATACCAAACCAGGTTATACAGAAATAATTTGTGTTCCTTTTTGGATATTAACCAATCAGAGGCTAGAATACAAACAAAATTAAATTATAAAGTTTTGGTTCAGATTAGGCATACATCCGTGGGTAAAACAATATTTTTCAAATCAGTTGCAGGCATAAAAATAAAATGTTCGACAACCATGGGAAAAACACTATTTCTCAACTCAGTTGCAGGCATAAATATAGTATGTTCGGTATATTTTATTTAATTTTTTTAAAAGAGAGGATTGTTAACTATAATCTCGTAGAAAAAGTGATATTAGAAATACTGTATTGTAGTTTAATGTGAAAAAGTGATATTGGAAATACTGTATTGTAGTTTAATATGAAAAAGTGATATTAGAAATACTGTATTGTAGTTTAATGTGAAAAAGTGATATTAGAAATACTGTATTGTAGTTTAATGTGAAAAAGTGATATTGGAAATACTGTATTGTAGTTTAATGTTAACCCCTTTGCTACAGTTTACATGCAGTGTTATAATCACTTTGGGATGTCTATCAATTAAATATTGATATAAAATTGGTATGCATTGTCATCTCGAATTGTTATCACGTACTTCTTTAGTTATATACGACACCGAATTTAAACAAACTTTGTTTCAAGGTATCTACATTGTATAGTGTTTATTCAAAGGAGAGAGAATATTTATTTGGTAAAATTACTATGTTTTACAAATTTTAGTACATGAACGTTTCACTGTTTAATCAAAACGTGTTCAATTGAACGTTTCGTGCTTTTCGCTATAGCAAGAGGGGGGAAGTTAAGGATAGATTCTTCACAGTTTTTTTCCCTTTGAAGAACTAGCTGAACCGGGAAAATATTAGGAATATAGTATATGATAATGTACAGGACATCGACATGTATTTTTTCAACTCGGATTCCTGAGCATTTCAATAAGAATAAATACAATTAAAATACCAGTAACCAATTCTTTTAAATACTAGTACGCTTTTTAGGGTATGAAAATGGTCTAAATATTGATGATTAATTTAGAGAATATATTGAAGGATTTTGAAAATACTAACCCGATATCCCAATAGAGATCCTCTAGCTTTCTTATCAATAAGCTGTGTTTTTTCTTCCGCTAGTTCATTATTTTGTTTGTTTCTACTTCTTGAGAGCAGAATTTGCTGTAAGAAATGAGAAAACTATGTTAAAAGTTTATTTTCAATTTTTCTTTTCCTTCAAAAAATGATACATGCCACATTTCTTTATTTACCTATGTGGAGTTCATAAAGATTGCATATCCTTTCGGAGAGAAGTAAACGGAAGAATCTGGAGTATTGTTTGATTGATGAATAATATTTACCAGAAGTGAGAACATGATATTCGTTTTTGTTTCTGAACCCTCAAATGATATGACAATAGTTTAACAGGAAATTGATTTTTTCAACCACTCTATCAGATCTTTCACTTTCAATCGTAATATTTATTAATTGATTCAATGGTCTTCATATCCATTTGCATCGATAAATAAGACTAGTACTTCAATGTAATAAGATGGGACTTTTTAATCAATGCACTTAGATAAGTTGAAATTGGAGTCATGTAGGAAGGACCTCATGTAATATTATCATTTAGACCTGCAATGTATTAAAAACCAATAAAGATTTCTGTTAGGTAGATTCGATAAAAATATTGAATATGGGTTGAAATACGATATCTTTATGGGCATAAATAGGTTTCAGGAATACAGATGTGGAGCTCGTTTCGTTTCATTAAGACAGATAGAGACGCATTGCTCCTTTCAACTTGGATTGCCTGCTACATACCCAGGAGCAAAGAATTGATGCATATTCAATATTTGATCAATTAAGTCCCACCCTAACACCAGAACCCCATGGGGTCTGCTTAATTCACTTAAAAGAATACTTATGTGTCTTTTCAGATATTTACATTTAATTAACTTGAGAAAAAAAATAGCATTTTTATATGTTTTTTAAAACAAACTCATAGAAGACTATAAGGGGATTTGATGAAATTAATTTCGTTTTCTGTTTAATTTTATTTAAGGTCGACTATTACGTCAAATACGATGTTGCAATGAAATGAATGTTTGCTGCAAGTTTCAAAACCAAGCATATGCAATGAAAACTGTCTCCTTGAAAATTAAAAAAAAAAAATAAAGAAAATGAACCCAGCAAGAGAAAAAAAATTACTAATTTGACCTAATTATACATATTTACATTTTTTTCCTGCTCTCTAAGAATTATCATAATATTTTTGGTTCTTTTTCTCATTTTTTTTTTCTCTGTTTTTTTTTTTTTTTTTTTTTTTTTTTTTTTTTTTTTTTTATGAAGGCATTGTTTTGAAAGGAAGTTAATTTTGCTCTTATTTTCTGTTTTTAATTTTATGAAATGTCAGAAATTAAACGTTTCATATGTGCAGTTGTAATGAAGGATTACTTTTTTTTTTTTTAAATCACTTTTTCTCAAAGTTTTGACAATGATGATTAAAGTAAATTAAAATTACAATTAAAAAAATCAATGTCTTGAAACAAAAAATTAAACAAAATCGAAAGAAAATAATGATTCTGATATTCTGCTTTCTGTGAACTGGGTTAAGCATGAAAACTGTAGAAGACTGGATTGAGATAAATGATTTTACCCTTAATGTCTTATCAAAAAATAATATTTTAAACCATTTAACAATGCTTACCTTTATTATCGACACACCGTTTTTGTCAATTCCGCCTTGTGATTTTCCAATGTACGGCTCCAAGATAATGTTTCTTAATTTGTACGGAGATGTCAATTTTGCACTAATTATATGAACAATTAAAATGTTAAATAATATAAAAACACATTCTATCTTATCAATGTGTAAATTCATGGTTCAAATGCTTTAGTTTCTATAACAATAATGTTGAAGTCAAGAATTCTTTTATAATACCTTCCATGAATATGAATGGACAAAACTCTTGGATCAATACACGCCTACCACATTTAGTTCAGAATTTATGAATGAAATGCAACACCACTAAACGCTACAAGTGGCTAATATCTCCAATGACATCTGTGCATCTCGATTTTGAACAAAGTGGCGCTTTGTTCTTCATTCCGCCCGCTAGCAAAAGGAAGGCTATTGTTATGTAAAGATACAAATTAGAGATTACACTCAATATCGATCAATCAAATCGATATCAATGAATTAAGACTATAAATATACCATTCGTTATCTTGGGTGATAATTGCTTTCTAATTAAGTACAGTCTTCTTCAACTGCTGGTTGGGTTTCCTTGAAATCGATTCTTCGAACATGTCATGTCGTTTCTTAATGAAAATATATACAATTGTATATATTAACTGACAGCTAAAAGTTCAAGACATTATTCATTATTCAATGAGTGTTAGATATAACCTCTCATATACATCCAAAATGTTTGCATGTAGCCAAATTTTATGCATTAAATTATGTGGAATTTCTGCTCTGCTATAGACCTCAATTGTGTGTTTTTTTTATGTAAAAGAAAAATATACTCTATTTTTAGTAACTATTCAAACTAAAAATAGACAACTCACTTTTGGCATCTAACAAAGTGAATGTCGCTGACACATTCTACAGAGGAGGTGGTGTGATTATTGAAAAAGTATAACAAATGTGCTGCGCTTTCTGGAAACCTCTTTACATTTTTGAATGGTATCTTACATCTTATCTTTTCATTATTAATTACCAAGTCCTTTTTTGTCGATGTGATTATTTTTTTTCTTACTGTAGGTTATTACTCGAGGTTTGGGAAGTACCAGTAGAACTAATTGGAAACTAGTTGATAATATACCCGTAGAATCTATCTAAATAATTAACATTATGAATTGTAATATCATTTCACGACCTTAATCTACGCAATGAAATTTCTGAACTAATTTCTTTAGGTCTAATTACGATGAAACTGCAAACTTGCAGTTTGTCGTTATGTTTTATAAAGTCCATTATATCTGTCCGTGAAAATGTTCCTGTCTCATTTCCTTTGTATTCTACTTATTAATTATCATCTCTAAAAACAGGTTTCCTGTCCTTACTTTGCATGAACTGGATATTGAAATACTAGTAGTACATGCAACCTCTGGTTCAATCGAAGACCTACATGTGTATTAAAAACTGATAATCCTAATCTAATTAATTTTTCAGATTGTGTCACATATTGTCTTATGTGACGAAAAGAAAACTCAAAGTCATTCTTTTCAAAGAAGAAATTTTATTGTACACCGACAAAACTGTCGTAAATTTATTTTATTCAATTTAGCTTTCAATATCTATCAAGTATTCCAAAGTCAGCTTTATTCGATGTCGCTAGTTAAGTCATACATAATTTTAAGTAGTTTTTGGAGTTCAGGTCTTCCAACAATTTGTCATAATTCCACGGGTACCAATTGCGGCCCGTTAGTAGCAGACCTATTTTTATGTTCATATGAAGCAGAATTTATTTAAAGACTTCTACATGAGAAGGAAACACTTGCTGTGGCCTTCAGCTCGACATTTCGATATAATTTAATTTTGTTTGTATTCTAGCCTCTGATTGGTTTATATCCAAAAAGGAACACAAATTATTTCTGCATAACCTGGTTTGGTATGTGGACACACACCCCTGACAACCAGCTGAATCATCTGTATCCATACAATCCTCTCATTTCCAGTCCTCGGGATTCATGGAAAATTCCAGATTTAATAAATGTACCTTTAACTTCAAACAATAATTCGATCTTACCACATGTAAACAAGCTGCTAAGCCTATGTATCAGTTGTTACCTCCCCTCGCTTCCCATCACTTCCATTACTTCCGTTACTACGATTGTATTATTGAGCGGCAAATTTGAACGAATAAAAAGCAACGAAATTTTACACCCATACTTATTTAATGATTTTAAAATTAAATTATAAGGAATGACTCTAATTCTTGGCCAAATTATTCGAGCATAACCTGGTTTGGGTCAGTTTACGCTGTTTTATAATCCGCTTCGCGGATTATAAAGCGTAAACTGACCCAAACCAGGTTATACTCGAATAATTTGGCCAAGAATTAGAGTCATTCCTAAAATATATCGACGACGTATTATAAATTAACAATAGTTACTTCCACTCATATGTTGACTCGATATATCCCAGTGAACTTGAAATAAAAGATACTACAGGGTCTGGTACATCTGTTTCATACTTGGATATTTTACTAGAAAACGAAGTTAAAGACAGAGATTTTTTATCGGGTGGAAAATTCCAGGTGAGGGAGGGGCTTATTTTGTACAGGTGTGAATGAGTTGAGGGCTAGCAGTCTACCTGTGGCCGTTTGTCTCCTAATCCCTATACATGTACACAGGAAGTCATTCAATACACAGTAGAGTACCCAAGAAGTCAGACTTTACATGTGCTGGGATTTTGAGATGATTTTAAAGAAGAAATAAAAAGGTGTAAATAAAGTTTAATCTCAATAATTTTTATTAATTTGTAATTGAATGTGTGTCAAAGCATCCCCACCCATTAAAAAAATATTATTCAAAGTATTTTGTTGAACTTTGACAAAAAATTACATGTATACCAAATTTTGATATATATTATCATAAAGAATAAATACTAAAGGTGTTGTATATATATATATCATCAAGCTAAAAACTCTATAGTAATCATGGAAATACAGCTTCTCTATTGTTCATTCCATGTGAGGCAAATATCAAAGGATTAAAAGTTAATTTGAAGGTCACCACGAGTGCCAAATAAGGTGTACAGGATATATACAGGGACTAGTAAGTAAATGTCAATCAAGTTCTAGCACCCAGTGATGTACCTTAATGCACTTGATTGACAGGGGTACAAAGACCAGGTATTTTTGAAGGCGGTGTTTAAAATCTCTGCCTTTAATGCACTTGATTGACAGGGGTACACAGACCAGGTATTTTTGAAGGCGGTGCTTAAAATCTCTGCCTTTAACGGTAGACGTGATAAACGTGATAACTTCAACTTAAAAAAGAGTCTTTTTTGTGTTTCAGTCGAAAACATAATAAAAAACATTAAATAAATATTTAAAAACAGCATATAGAAACAAAAGAGTTACATTATTGATAATATATAGTGCATATTAGAATATAAAAAATATATAATGGAAGAGGGGGGGGGGGCGGGGGCGGTCAATACCACAAGTGCCTGTGGATAAAAACACACTGCAGGTGTGACCGGTCAACAGGGAATGCCTACTCATCCACGGCACCTGATCCCGCCTCTGATGCTCTCTATTAGAGGTCCGTGTCTGCTCTGCTCCCGATTTGTATTGTTTCAATGGACTTTTAAGCTTGATTATACTGTTTGTTATCTCCATATTTCATTGATTTACAAAAAATCAGACATAGTACTTGTACTTTGGGTTTATTCAATACATTTAAATTGTTACTGTTGTTGACCAGGGCGTCTAATCTTGATTTTTTTAATGAAGGCAGACAAAATTAAGACCAGATTTGACAAAGAAAATATTATTTATTCAAGTAAATGACGAAAATAAAAATAAAAAGAACATCAGGGGGATCAGGAAAGACTAGATAAAAATTCCAAATAATATATCAAATTTTTGCCACCATATTATCCTCCAAGACACCTGGTCCGACCTCTGATGTTTTTATTGATCCTATCTCTGGTGTTTCCAAAGACTGGTGTTTTGCTTCCTTCGTTTTGTTTGTTATTGTCATCATTTTCATTTTGCAATTCTGATCATATAAGTCCGCGTGGCTCAGTGGTTAGAGCGTTTGCTTTTGAGTTGGAGTTAGGAGTAAATCCTTACGTCGCGGGTTCGAATCGCACTGTGGGGCGTTGGGACCGGTCCTTCTGATGAGACGTGTAAACCGAGGCCCCGTATTGCAGGAGGTGCTGGCACGAAAAAAGATCCCTCACTGCTCAAAAGCCGTAAGAGCCGAATACAGGTCTCCACCGTCAAGTAGTGGCGTCTCAATATGAGCGAAAAATTCTCAATGGGACGTTAAACAAACAAACAAACAAATCTGACCATATGAAGTAAAACATTACAAAAATGTGGCAATAATGTTTTCCTTCTATGCCATGCAACTTAATCTTGGACCAATTACCTATGTAATGCAGTCAATTACTTTTGATACTCAACAAAATAAATTCTTTTCATATTATTAAACATTTATTTACCAAAGTTTGTAAGGCAAAAATTGCAACAGTAGTGTTGTCAAGGTAGAGTTTTATAATTTTCTAAATTATATGGATACACAGGTTTCTCGCCAACTTAGCCTGATTATAAATCAGTATATGCAAGTTACTAATGATTGACCACTTTCAACTTACAATAGAATAATATTCTTAAAAGAGAGAGAGAAGGAAAGAGAATTACTATACGAGTATAGTAATTACATGTAGATACTGGTTTTTCCCAATGAAATACAAAATTAAATCATTAATATAAATTTCTTGTTTGAAATGATATCGCTTTTACCTTAAAAGGGTATATTTGAATTCGTTATTAACTTTGAAAAACCATTCAAACCTTTGGGCTTAATAAAAAAACAAACATAAAATCAGATGTGGGAGTTTCTGTCTCTGTTGTCCAGTAAGAATTATTTTTCATCTGATTTAAATCGATGGAATGTACCACACTATCCCTCGATGTCTAACCACAACTTGCAATTCAGTAGAAAGTATGATCGCCCCAAGACATCTAAAGTAAATTATTTAGCATGTGGCGAAGTTCAGATAGTAATTAACAAAAATGCATATAAAATTTACTGCAACTCTTAATACGATGACCTAGCTATTATCATGTCCCCACTAGCTCTGTAATGATTAGTTAAGCTGAACCGGAGCAAGTTTGTCATAACTGGGTGACTGGGTTT